ACTGAGCCACCCAGGCGCCCCAAGATTGGGCTTTCTTACATAGTTCTTAAATATGAAAGGAAAGGTATAGTTCGAGTGCTAATACATGAGTGAATACAATAAAGCTCAGATGTTTTTATGCTGTTAAAATACAAATTATAGTGATATTGCATATGGATATAGCTGAGTGGAATAGAGACATTTTTAAAACCTTTTAAAAAAAATGTAACATAACAGAGTGTCCAAAAGAAATGTATGATTTTGCCAAAAATTACAGAACAAACGCACGTGCACATCCCCCAGGTTGAGAAATTCTGTGTCACCGGCACGCAGAGCCTCCCCGCCCCCCATCACCACGTGCCTCCAGGGCTGAGGACCGTTGGCAGTTTGTCCAGTCCCGGCTCCCTTGGCCGTATGTGGCTTTTCTACATGTTCATCTCTGAACAGTATCAACATAGAAGAATTTTAAGTGGGATAGTTTAAAACCGATTCATTGCAGTTCTCAGATTAATTATCGGCATTCCTGCCATTCGAGTCATGAGGCTCTGGGAGGTGCTTTTGGGGAGTTGTGTAGCAGGAGGTTTCTACTTGTGAAATGCTGACAGATAAAAAACCTTTCCCATGCTTATCAGATAATCGTGTTCCATCACCTGCAGCCTGGCCCCGTGAGCCGCACAGCTCTGTTTTGGTCTTCACGGTATTCCACAAAGATCAGTGTGTTTCCAAGATGCTGCTCTCAGGGTTTGATCACGTTAGGCTGGTTGAATTCAGCTTTTAGAGCCCCCCTTCCCCCTTTTAAGTCTCTCTACGATTTTTTTTTTTTTTTTAACAAGATACTTTAGGATACTTTATTTAGAAGTCCATAGTAGTTCTTGGACTTAAGTGGGTAAAAAAAATCACATCTCAAAAGGACTTTTATTTAAAGAAACACTTAAAGAATCATTTTAAATGTTAGTATTGTTATGTATTCTTAGAAAATACAAAAAATGTGTTCACATAGCTAAAATTTACACATCCACTAACATTTTCAGTTAGCCCTACTTTTTTTTTCATATCCGAAACGATACCAAATGGTAACCCATTTGCACTAATCCTGAAGAGCAGTAGTTTGAGAAAACCTAGCTGTTCAACAGTGTTACCCATTTTTCTGGAGATTCTGATGCTAGGTCATGGAGGGAATCTGGGAATTAGTGCTATACAGCTTAATTTCTTACCACTTCCTCCTTGCACACTTTGCTCGTCCCTAGCCAGCCCGCCAGCACTTGGTGCCTGAGTCCTTAGCATCTTTCCGTCTGTGCCTCCTTCCTCTGGGCCACCTCCTGAGGACATCCCAGGCACATTCCCTTCTCTGACTTCAGAGGGATTGCTGGTTGCTTGCTTCCATTTGGCACTTCTCCCTCTGCTGCCTCGCTTTGGGAGTTACCTGGAGACGTGCATTGTGTCTCTCCAGTGCACGCACTTCTGTTTGATCTTTGACCCGTCGTAGTTGTTAGCTGGTGGAGAATGTACTTTATTTACTGAAGCTGGCCACAATGTCAGGCTTGTTCCAGAATCTAAACATCCTTCGAATATTTGTGGCCAGAGTTCCCTGGGGGAGTGTGGAGGAGAGGCCTAAAATACGCAGGTTGCTCCCTATCTGCACATCCTCAGAATTGTGATTTGTCCCTGAGTGAAGACCAGCTGTTTCTACCCTGGTGAAGTCTGCAGGCCTGCAGGGGACCAGGAGGGGCTTTGCTGATGATTCCATCTGCAGCCCCCATGAGTTTCTAGTCAGCATCACTCGAGGAGTGGGGACCCTTAACCTGGGCCCCATGTCTAGGAGAACCCTGTAGAATTTTTAGACTTTTGTAATTTATTTCTCCATAATGAGTAGCCATAAAACGTTTAAGAAGGATGACTTCAGCGCAGTGAATAAAGGGGCATTTAGGAGAGCTGCCTCTCTTCTCCAGATAGGCGTGGGTGGGTGGTGGCAGTTTTGGGGTTTTTTTTAATAAGATTTTTTTTTTTTTTCAATTTTTAAGTAATCTCTACATCAGCATGGGGCTTGAACTCACAACCCCAAGACCAAGAGTCTCCGCTCTTCCAGCTGAGTCAGCCAGGCGCCCTGCTGGTGACAGCTTTTAAGGATGGTGGGCCTCCAGCCAAGTACTAGGGGCAGGTTCTCTGCCAAGGAACGGGAAGCTCACTTTTTTCTCGTTCATTCTCTGATACTGAATGTGATCCTACCTGCGTCTTTGACAGCAGGCAGCTTGTGTGGCCCCGCAGAGCCAGTGTCTTGGACTGAAATATGCATGTGGGTTTTTTGCCTCCCCACGCGTTTCCAAATCTAGATTGCTAATTGACTGTAGGTTGGCTCTTGTGTTGTTGGTGTAATTGGTGACATGTGCAATGGACATTTGTGTTCTAGAGTTCATTCCTTGCATGGACAAGCTGTTCGATGAATCCATACTCATTGGATCAGGATATACTGCTCGAGAGACTCTCAGGTACGGTATTAAATGTGCGGTATCTATTGAAAAAATGCAGAGGGGGCAGTGAGACATGGTACTTTGTGTTATGAGTGTTTCAACAGGTGTAGGCTTTACTGTCCCTTTGGATTTAGAATTGCAGGAAGTTTGGAAATGCCTTAGGTTGGTTTTTGTGCCTTAGCTTACAGGGAAAAATCAGAATAGTTGTCTTGATTTAAATCGTACATAAAACTATCTGACTTGTGTTAGTTTTTCTGTTGGCTTTTTTTTTCTTTTTATATAACAAGTGTGTCTCTTTATTATAAAAGAATATTTAATAACCAAACAAGAAGCAAGAAGGAAAGGAAACCTTTCGGTTCTACACAAGAGGGAGTTCAAGTAACATGGATAATATTTTGGTGTATTTCCTTCTAGCTTTATTTTTTATGCATTTTATAGAATAAATGTAGTTGTGATCATGTTTATCATTTCTAAAGGAGAAAGTTAATATTTTATCATGTTTTACAACGTAAAATGAAGCAATGTTAGTAATTTTTTTGGTTCTAACATGGGAGGTGTCATAGATCTTTTGAAAAATACGCAGAACGCTTTCAATATGTTACAGGCTATCCATTACGTTTTCCGTATAAAGTAGTTACAAATATGAAGATGCTTTTTTTATAGCTCGCAGTTGAACCTGGCTGCAGTTGGACATGAGATCATGTCACTCCTGCTGGAGACCCTCCTGTGGTTCTCTGTTGCCCTTGGAAAAGACCACCAGACTCCCCGCTTGCGTGGGATTTGGCTCTCCCTTCTGGACCTGCCGCAGCCACGCTGGCCTCCGTGGCACTTCCCACTTAGGACCTGTGTCTATCCAGTTTCCTCTTTCTGGAAATTTCCCTGGCTCTTTGCCCCGGGGCCCTTTGTCCTTAAGGTCTCCGCATCGGTGTGACCTTTTCAAAGGGGCTTTGCCTGCCCCCTGAGAGTGGGTCCCCCTCTGGTCTTCGTCCCGGTGTTTTCACGTCTCCCACAGCACATTCTGGGGTGTTTCCCCTCCTATAAGTATGCTTCCTGAGGGCCGGGGCTTTGTTCACCTTGGTCACTGGTGATCTGGTGTCTGGCTCATGGCTGGCACGTGGTGGGTGTCCAGACCTTTAGTCAGTGAGTACTCAGTAGCCCAAATGTTCTTTTTCTGTCTCTGTGAAATGGTCACAATGTATAAGGTGTTAACTGACACACACTGAGTATGTCACTGTTTATCTTTGAGTAACAAAACCCGTTCCATGTGTGACTGAGCTGGTGATGATTTCTGCTCACGTATGTGCCCCTGTGACCATGAGATGCAAGAACTTGGAAAGTAAAGATTTAGGCACCGAGACCAGACTTGAGCCTCGTGGTCGTATAGCTGGGGAAGCTGGAACCATAGAAAGCGTGCCCCAAGTGTACCGTCCTGTGTGTTGCTGGGGCACGTGGTGGGAGAAACGGTGGCCTGCAGATGTGGGAGCGTGGGAACTGACCCGCACGCTAGCAGAGATCTCTGCCCACAGGCCCCTCGCCTACAGCACGTTGGCCGATCTCGTGCACCACGTCCGTCAGCACCTGCCCCTCAGTGACCTCTCCCTCGCCGTCCAGCTTTTTGCCAAGAACATCGATGACGAGTCTCTGCCCAGCAGCATCCAGACCATGTCCTGCAAGCTGCTGCTGAACCTGGTGGATTGTATCCGCTCCAAGAGCGAGCAGGAGAGCGGCAATGGGAGAGATGTGCTAATGCGGATGCTGGAGGTACTGGTTCTCCTGAGAGATGTCGGCGTCCTGCTCGTCCATCTCTCCCACTGCTATACTTGTGCTTTACTGACAAGTTTGTGCTGCCGTCAGATTGCCCAGCTGGATTCCGGGTGTCAGACCACCTGGGTTCAAATCCCCACCCCCCCATTAAGTAGCCAGGCGTCCTTGGGCAAGATATTTAACTTCTCTGTGCCGGCCTACTCATCTGACCAGGGATAATCACAGGGTCTGCCTCCCAGGATTGTCATGAGAGATGATAAAACAGTTCACGGTTGCTCTTAGCACGGTTCCTGGCAAGTACTTAGAAGAGGCATTTCTGGGACACTGTGTAGCCAAGGGCTGGGTTCGCTGTGAACATCTCTGGAGAGGCACCCAGTTGGGTGTGTGGGTACAGAGTAGGGTGTAATTGCCAAGGCCGGTGGGCGATAGTGTGGGTTTTGGAGTAGTCTGGGCTGCATCCAGGCTTATCCGACAAGTCCCCCAGCTTTTCTGAGTCAGATTCTTCATGGCGACAGGGGCCCTAGTGATGCCACTCTGGTTACCATTGGGGGAAATGGCACACTTCCTTCGTGCGAAGCAGAGTGACTTCCACAGGTGCTTTCACGGTTTGTTTTTCTGTCTTCTGAAAAGGTTGGCCTATCGAAGAGGAATGATTGTCTTTCTCGCCACTTTCTCTTCCTGCCAGGTCTTTGTTCTCAAATTCCAC